CAGCAAGGGAGGGGGACCGTCCTGATGCCACTGGGCCGCACCCTGGTCTCTGGGTCAGCGTGTGGTCTCTGTGCCTGGCGGGGGGAGCTGCTATTAGACACCAGCCTTCGGGGCGAGGCGGGCAGGACCACGGCCACGTGCCAGGGACAGGCAGCTTGGGGTGAGGGAGGCGGAGCTGGGAACCACCCAGCCGCATGTCTTCCATCTGCCTGACCAGAGGGCCCAGCAGGGAGGCCAAATCTTACTTTTCCTTTTCTCTCTCTCTCTCTCTCTCTCTCTCACACTCTCTCAATATCACCCAAGGATATTTTTCCATTGGTTTTTAGAGGGATTGGAAGAGAGAACGAAAAACAGAGAGAAATATCCATGTGAGAGAAACACATTGATTGGTTACCTCCTGCATGTACCCGGACCAAGGCCCAGGCCGGGAGGAGCCTGCAACCGAGGTACATGCCCTTGACCAGAATCGAACCCAGGACCCTTCGGTCTGCAGGCCGACACTCTATCCACTGAGCAACACCGGCTAGGGTGCTTTTCCTCCTCTTCACCTCCTCAGATGGGAGCAAGGCCCGGTCTTCCGGGACATCTAACCGGAGCCAGGCTGCCCCCGAGGTCAGCTGACCAGATAAGCTCCTCTGGCCCCAGCTGGAGGGGCACTGCCCGGGCAGCTGCTCTACCCTGAGGCCTTGGCAGGCACCCGGGTGAGGTGTGAGCTCCTGTCCCTGATCTCCCCTCTGCCTGGGATGACAAGGCCCCTCCCGGATCCGGGGTCAGCAGGAGGCCTGCCCAGGTGGCCACTGGCTGAACCCCAGAAAGCTGCCTCCACACCTCACTCCAGGCCTCTCGCCCAGGCAGGAGGCTCAGCTGCCCACAAGCAATTGGAAAGAGTCTAAGTGTAAGCGGCTTAGTGGGGCTCTGAGATGGGGGTCCGCGGGGTAGGGGCCGGGCCAGCCCTGGAGGGAATCAGTGGCTGTGAGAGCAGGCACAGGGCACCAGAGGTTCCACTCACCTCTCTTCCAGGGACAGGGGGCACCTAAAGCTGCCCTCGGCCAGCTGTGGGCCTGCCCACCCCTCCGCTCCAGAGCCCAGTGTGGGCCGCCTGGTTTATTCTCTTTGCAAACCCAGGCAGGACCGTCTAAACCAGTGATGGCGAACCTATGACACGCGAACTCATTTTTTTTGGTTGATTTTTTTGGTTCGTGTGTCAGAGGTGACACACGAACTCATTTTTTTTGGTTGATTTTTCTTTGTTAAATGGCATTTAAATATGTAAAATAAATATCAAAAATATAAGTCTTTGTTTTACTATAGTTGCAAATATCAAAAAATTTCTATATGTGACACGGCACCAGAGTTAAGTTAGGGTTTTTCAAAATGCTGACACGCCGAGCTCAAAAGGTTCGCCGTCACTGGTCTAAACAGACAGCACATCTTCTCTGCGCTCAGCACTGCCCTGGCCGTTTGTATCCGCAGGACCCATAGCAGACAAGTGACATTTCCCAGAGTCCCTCCCCAAACCGCCTCCCTCCGGGTTACACCCTGCTGCCTGGCTGCCTCTCTCCTGGGAGAGGCCCCCATTGCGTCACCAAATGCATGCTGGGTCCTGGTGCAAACGGCCTGGGGAAGTCTGTTCCCCATCTGGACCTCTGGGGGAAGAGACGGTGAAAACGGTAGCTCCTAGAGTGCTTGGTGTCTTGCTCCCCCTCCCTGCTTCCTGGGTGCTCCTTCCTGTCCCCTGTAGCCTGGCTGATGCCTCAGGTCCGAGGTCTCAGCGAGGGCCACCGCCTCCAGAACCCTTCCTGACCACTGGGCTGGATTAAGTTCTGTTTCTGTGCCGCCGGGGACGCACCCATTCATTCCCGCAAGCATTCACCACACACAATGCTGTGGCCCACAACTGCGCACCAGCCTGTGCGAGGCAGGGCCCGGGTCCCCTAGAGCTCACACTGGGGGTGGGAGAAGCAGGAGAAGTCCTCTGGGTCTGGGGACACGCTGCAGCTCCTGTGACCCAGAGGGCGGAGCCCCCCAAGGTCGGCCTGGAACCAGCTAGATGGCCGCAGCGCTGGCGCCCCCCTCTTCCCTCCTCCCCCATTTCTTTGCTCTGTCTCCGCCGGGTGCCTGGTTGGCTGCACCCAGCTGAGACTTGGGGGACGTGGGATCCCTGCGCCTAAGCCCCTCCAGCTGGACGATCGCCCCCCACCAGGCTGGCTGCTCAGACAAAGGCGATGCCCAGGGTCAAAGGCTGCACCGTGGCTGCTGCTATTGCGGGGATTCTCTGTGCACTGCCCCTCCCCCAGGCTTTAGTCTGCAAACAAAGCCACTTAAAGAAATCAAAGGAAGGCAGACATTTTCTTCCCCAAACATCCCCCCTTCTGGGATGGGCGTGGGGGGCAAAGAGCGTCCCTAGGATTGAGAGCGGGGCTGCTGATGGAGGCAAACAAGGGCTGAGCCGGCGGGCACGCGCGGCTGTGCCACTGCCCGT